GGTGCCTTCATACTGCCTCCCCTCTGAACTTAGAGGGAGCAAGTCTGAGTAAGTCTGTGCATGGGGCCTTTAAGAGGGGCTGCCTGGGACTCCAGAAGTCTCAGTCTCCCTCAGCTTCAGTTCCTGCTGGATTTTTTTTTTTAATTTTTTTCTTTATTAATTTTTAGAGAGAGAGAAAGGGGGAGAGAGATGGAGAGAGAGAGAGAAATAGCGATGAGAGAGAACATCAATTGATTGCCTCTTCCATGGCGCCCACTGAGGATTCAGCCCACAACTTGGGCATGTGCCCTGACTGGGAATCAAACTGGTGACATCTTAGTGCATGGGTTGACGCTCAACCACTGAGCCATACCAGTCAGACTCCTGCTGGTGTTTACACCCAGAAGTTATGGGGACTTCTCTTCCTGGCACTGGAACCCTCAGCTGGGCACCTGGTGTGTGACAGGGACCCCTCACTCTTCTGAGAGGACCTTCACAGCCCAGGTGTCCCTCCTGGTTTTTATCCACCACACATAGTTATGGGACCAGCCTGTCTGCGCCTCCGTCCCTCCTACCAGTCTCAATGTGGCTGCTTCTTTAATTTTGTAGTTGTAAGACTTCCATTCAGCTCGATTTCAGGCAGTTCTGAATGATGGTTGTGCTGTAGTTTAGTTGTAATTTTGATGTGGTTGTGGGAGGAGGTGAGTACTACATTTACCTACACCACCATCTTGACCGAAGTCCTGAGATTTTTCTTTAGGTGTGCCATTTGTGGAGCTAATTGGGTTGTAGTCTGATGTGGTCTGAATTCCAACAATACATGTGTTGCTTCTAAGTCTAATTGAGAGGGACTCCACTGCAGGTCAGTGTCAGGTGCTGCCTTTGCCTGCCTTTGGGCTACCTGTTTGGTGGTAGAAAGCAATCAACAATTTATGACTGTCTCTGTTGGGTCTGACTGTGTGTGGGTAGGGCCACGCTATGCTCCAAGGCCAGTTTCCACCAGCACTGAGCCCTAGGGAAGGTCAGCAAAAGGCTCAAGGCTCCTGGAGATTATCCTCCACCTGTTAGCTGCCTATTAGGCTCAGTCACTGAAAGAGCCTCTAACAGTATGTGAGTTTTGTGAGGTAGGTTCTCAGTGAGTCACCAGGTAGGGGCAAGTGGTGTTCATCAGACCGATGCAGATTCAAACTGGCCATCAGTGCTGGGTCTGAGGCCACTTAACAATAGGGTACACAAAGGTGAACTGCCACCCACCATTGTCCATGGACATTTTCAGCAGAGCAGGGTTTCAGGGAGTCATCAGGGTGGAGTTAGAAGAGTTCATCAGGCTAAAGCAGATTAAGATTTGGCTGTGTGAAGGGAAGGCTTACTTCAGGAAATGTGGTGCCCATTGTGCATGGGGAAAGATGGCCTTCGCTCTAAAGCTACACAACTCAGTTTGTCCCGGTGTATCTCTGGCACCCCTTGAGCCTGCTCAGAATTCCTCACCAGTGTTTTCTGGAAAGACTGCAACATAGGCCAGAGCTTACAGCTATGAGGTAGAGCAGGGTCTCTTGGAGTCATCAGGGTGGGGCTAGTGTACCAGGCTAGTGTACCAGGCTAATGCCCTGAGAGGTGAATGCTTGACCCAAGAAAGATGGTGTCTGTTGAGGGTGGGGGAGAGGGACTCAACACAGACACGAGTGTACGTCTATCCAGCTTTCTCTCCAAATCCACATAACTCAGTCTCTCCTTGTATGGCTCTGGCACCCTCCAAACTACTGTCCCTCCACCAGAGCCCTGAGTGAGTGCCTGCAAGTATATGTCTGTGCATAGGCCCTTTAAAAGGATGCCGGGTGGGTTTCCAGCAGTCTTCCTTCTCACCTGGGCGGATGGAATCCCGGTTCACTTTCACAGCCAGATGTGGACTTCTCTTTATTGCACTGGCGCTCTGGGCTGGGAAGACAGGCATGGGGTTGGGATCCCTCACTCCTCAGGGGGTAATGTCTATAGCTGAGACATCTCTCCAGGTTTTGCATCTACACACCTTCTACTAGTCTCGATGTGGCTTCTTCTGGACTTCTGTTCAGCTAGTTTTCAGATGGTTATCCAGGTTGATTGTTCTATAACTTAGTTATAATTTTGATGTGGTCATGGGAGGAGGTGAGTGTGGCTTTCAGTTACTCAGCCATTTGGGATCAAGTATTGCCTATGTTTTTCACAGCACTTTTTATCATATTACTTTAACGGTGTGTTAAATGTGTTTGTTTAAAAAGCTATCAAAGCTTTAAGATTTTTTTTTGGTATGTGCCTCTAGCGGGAACTGAACCCGGGACTCTGGTCCACAGGCTGATGCTCCAACCGCTGAGCCAAACCGGCCAGGGCAGTTTTCTTTTAAGATTTGATACAGCTTTGATTAAGTCTGCTCTACTAAGATTGATTAAGGTATATCTATATCAAGTTCCTTGTTAAAATAAAAAATACAATAAAATAAAATTAGGTGTTTAAAAATATCTGATAGTTTGGTTTTATTTACACTAAGTATGTAGAAACTTTATTTTTCAGATTTAATTTTTTCTTCTCTTTATTGATATTAAAGAGAGAGAGAGGAAGGGAGACAGAGAAAGATAGAAACATCGATGAGAGAGAACATTGATTGACCACCTCCTGCACGCCCCCCACTTGGGATGGGGCCCACAACCTGGGCATGTGCCCTGACCAGGAATGGGACTGGCGACCTCTTGGTGCATGGGTTGATGCTCAACCACTAAGCCACACTGGTCGGGCTCAGATTTAATTTTTATATTTGACTTTGTATTGATGGAACAACTATATACATTCTCAAATTTTCCTTCCTAGAAGAAATTCAGAGAGGAAATAAAATATATTGTGGAGATTTTAATTTGATTTATTTCACTCTTTTTTATATACTGCAAAATATGTTATTATTAAGAGGCCCTTTTCCATAGGGAAGACTATGAATCTTAATAGAAATAATGGTTTCAGCTTAAAATATTTGAAGAAAATATTTCTTATGATCAGGTTATTAGATATAGCTCTTAATCTTGAAATGACTATTATTTATTTATTTATTTATTTTTATCCTCACCCGAGGACATTTTTCTGTTTGTTTTTTTTTTTGTTCAGATAGAGTGGGAGGGAGAGAAAGGGAGAGAGAGGAAGAGAGAGAAACATCGACATGAAAGGGACACATCGAGTGGTTGCCACCCACACGACCCAACCAGGGCCAGGGACAAACTGCAACTGAGGTACGTGCCCTTAGCAGGAACCAAACCCGGGTCTCTCTGGACCACAGGTCGACACTCTAACCACTGAACCAAACCGGCCAGGGTTGAAATGACTTTTATTATGATCATTCTTTTGATCTTTTTGCAGCTTATTTATCTAATACTTTTTGTCAGTTATGCAAAAACATTAAAATCGTCAAGGAAGATTTCATCCTGAATTAGAACTACATTGGGCTGAATCAGACTTGCATGAAAAATCATTTCAAAATTACAAACTTCCATAATATGCTCTGTAACAGCAGCCACATATTTTAGTTAAGTACACGTACTCTACAGTAAAATTCTTTGGGTTTAAATCTGTCTGTACTAGTCAGCTGTACAACTCTGGGTCAGTTATATTAACTCTGTCCTTCCATTTCCTTAACTGAAAATAATAGTACCTATAGCCTGTGATTGCTGAGGATAATATATATCAATACATATAGAGGAGTCAGTGGCTATTAATGGTTATAAGTAATGATTATTATTCATAATTTTAATTTGTTCCAAAAGTATTTGTTATGTGTATATGCCAATGTGTATAACATATGTGTGCATATAACACTGTTATGTGCATTTATATGTGCTAAAAATGCTACTCTTAATTTTCAATTTATTATAAAAGTAAAATATTGTCTTTGAAAAGTACAAAAAGGAAATAGAAGTGGAATAAAATTATACCAAGTTTCATTACCCAGAAACAACCATTGATAACAGTTACACATAGACTTTTTAAATGAATTTTAAAATGTAAATTTTGATGTCTAAAGTAATAGTATTAAGTAAAAGTGGATGGATTTTGTTATTTATACATCTTAAAACTGTATTTATTTGGTTAAAGCTTTTAAATTCTGAGAAGACACAGGCACAAAACTTTGGCTAAAGTGTAGTTAAAAATATGCAGTTATGTGAAATAATCAGATTATGAAAATATTTAAAGATTCCAGTTTCATACCTCATAGATTAAGAAAAAATCTTGCTTACTTTATTAGTTAACCTTTCACAGCTGGCAAAAAGTGAATTTGAGGAATTTCCCATAATTAATTTTATAAAACGAAATACCAATAGGTAGGTGTATATTACACACTGGTAGAATTGGATGTGACATGTAAAATTAAGTATAGTTTTTGTTTATGTTATCCATCTATATTTATTCCTTTAAATCATTTCTTATCTTAAAAAACAATTATATACTTTAATCAGATTTTTGATGAATTGATTCATCACTCTTAGTACTACATCCCTTACATTTTGGCTAGAAATGACATGCCTTAATGCATTCCACTATGTCTACACACGTGGATAACTTCCAATGAAAATATTAGTTTCCTTGCTTTTCCCAGAGTATGTAAAAAGATTTCATAAACACTTGATAGTGGTACTATCTTTGGGGTGGAGAGATTTTATTGAAAATAATGCATGTTAAGATTAGTTTACCTCAAGGATCTTTCCAATGCAAAATACCACTTGTTTAATGGCCTTCTTTGTACACTTGTCTCATTGATAATTATGTCCTCATAGCTCCAGCACTGATGGAGAGATACATGAAAAAGCATTAAAAATTCTAAATCCAAACAATGTAAAAGACCACCTAATGGATCAACAGAGATTAATCAATGATTTGGGACAAAACTGTGCTGAAAGAAATTGGGATCTAAAAATCTATTAATTTAGACGCTGGCGCTTCTGCTGACGTCTTGCGCGCGCCGGAAGTGCCTGGCGGCGAAGGGCGAGGAGCGGTTTACCACGTTTACGGCGTCTCCCCGCGCCCAGGGCTGTGGCTTACAGAAGAGGTGAAATGTGGTCTGAGGGACGACATGATGATGAAAGGCTTCCAAGAGAACGAGCACCGCCTCGAAATCACCCCAGCGATGGCGACCATAGAGTAGTTGATGGTGTGCCAAAGAAACCACCGCTGCCAGGCAGGCCAGTTGAAGGGAGCTGCAATAGATATTACAGTCAGGTTGATTACCGAGACTATGACGAGGGCCGCAATTCTTCCCATGATCGAAGAAATGGTCCACCGCACAGAGGAGATGAATCTGCCTATAAGTGGACAAGGGATGATCATTCTGGAAGTCGTCAGCCTGAATACAGGGACATGAGAGATGGCGGCTCTAGAAGAAAGAGTTTCCACGCTTCCCATTATGTGAGAGACCAGTCTCCACATAAAAGAGAAATTCTTTTTTTAAGAGACTCACCTGTGATCAGAAAGGATTCTCCACACAGCAGATCTGGCTCCAGTGTCAGTAGTAGAAGCTACTCTCCAGAAAGAAGCAAAACGTACTCTTTCCATCAGTCTCAACGCAGAAGTAAAGAGAGACCTGTTTGGTCTTTGAAAACATCAAGAGACACTTCATCCTTAAGTTCTTCAACAGTTCCTTCATCAAAGGTGTTAGACAAATCCAATAAGCTAACTCAAAAGGAACTTGCTGAGGCTGCAAGTAAGTGGGCTGCTGAAAAACTAGAGAAAGCAGATGAAAGTAACTTACCTGAAATTTCTGAGTACGAGGCGAGATCCACAGCACCATTGTTCATTGACCAGCCAGAAGAACCTGAGTCAAATGCAACAGACGGCATAGAATTATTTGAAGACAGTCAGCTTAACAGTCGCTCTAAAGCAATAGCATCAAAAACCAAAGAGATTGAACAGGTTTACCGACAAGACTGTGAAACTTTTGGGATGGTTGTGAAAATGCTGATTGAAAAAGATCCTTCATTAGAAAAGTCCATACAGTTTGCATTGAGGCAGAATTTACATGAAATAGGTGAGCGGTGTGTTGAAGAACTCAAGCATTTCATTGCAGAGTATGACGACTCTAGTCAAGACTTTGGAGAGCCTTTTTAGACATTTACTTGCTCAGGCAAAAAGAATAGTTCTAGATTTCCCCCCCCCCAATTGTGTAAATCCTTAATATATGGATTTTTGTGATGAAGATAGCTACTTTATGATAGTTGACCTCCTTTCCAATATCAAATTAATATCTAAAATAGTCTTAAGATATTTTAATTAGAATTTGTTTTATCTACATGTAGAGCCTCCTAATCTATTACTTATCTTTTCCCCTCTACAGTGATGGGCCAATTAAGGGTTCAAGCCCCGGAGAAGAGCTCTCTATACTTACTCCTGTTCTGTAGTCTTCCACAGTATGTGATCATTTCATTTGGTCACACTGGTGTAATCTTTAGAAGTCATTCCACTTAAACATTTATAATCTTTTTTGCATTTCATAGTCAAGTATACCATGTGAAAATGTTAGAATTCTAAATTGTGCTCTTACTGACTTGTTGCTTGCTTATCTTAGGCTTTGTAAGTTTTAATATGTTTAAGTAGAAGAGCCAAATAAACTTAATACTTTGGTAAAATAAATAAATAAATAAAAATCTATTCATTTAAAATTAACTTAGGACTAATATAAATTTATGTTACCATGATGAATTCAGTCAATTCATATAGTTGTTTTTTTGTTTGTTTGTTTGTTTTTATCTTCACCTGAGGATATGTTTAGTGATTTAGAGAGAGGGAAGAAGGGAGGGAGAGAGAGAGAAAGGGAGAGAGAGAAACGTCAATGGGAGAGAGAAACATTGATCAGCTGCCTCCCATAAATGTCCTGACTGGGGTTTGAACCCTCAACATAGGTAAATGCTCTGACAGAGAATCAAACCCTCAACCTTGTGGTGTACTGGATAACACTCTAAACAACTGAGCCACCTGGCCAGGGTTTGTATAGATTTTTAAAAAATAACAACAACACACAAATTGGTGTTGCTTTAATCTTATTATACATATAATACTTATTCTCTAAAAATTTGAACTATAGAAAACCAAAAAGTTGGAAAATTAATGGCTTCATAATCCCATCTCCCAAAGATAACTACTGTTAATACTTCAGTATATATACTAAGACAAGGTCTAGATTTAAGAAGTATTTGTGATTCAGAATAACGACAATTGTTACTAGCTCTTTTATTGGTTAGAATGTTGGCAACATGAAAAGAAAAAATTTATTTCCAGGTTCTAAGTAATGGTGGGCGATACCACAGCACTTTAATTTGATGGAAATGCTTGTACAAGCCCTAAAATGCCTAACTTAAAAAGTCATCAATTTAAAAAGTCCCAAAAGCATAAATCCAATTTTTTTCAGAAGATGAATTTGCTTTTAAAATCACTTATATCAACAGAGTTGAGGCATGGTGGATGCTCAGTAAAGAAGTGTGCATAGCATTTTAATGATTTATGCTAAGGTGTTGATGATTCTAAGCGGCCATTTTTATAGTGATCATTCTAAATCATCTTTCTTCACGTTTTCCTTAACTCATTCACTACAAATGTGCAAGACACTATAATGAGTACATGGAAATCTGACGCTTTCTTAATTTACTTCTTTTTGGTTTCCTAGCCCACTACTCAACTCTTTTTACATGAAGACAAACTTGGAAACTGAGGAAAATGGAAAAACCTGCTTCTCAGCCTGTCCTGACTCCCAGGCTGAGGAGATTAATTTCTTGGCCAAGTAATTGGGAAGCAGAGCTAAGGGTCATTTCTTACTTTCTGGACTTTCTTCAAATAGCATCTTTCTTTATATACTCAAAATTTTCCATTCCTGACCTACATGTTTGTTTCTATTTCATCCCTAAATTCACATAGTCTATCCTAATAACCAACACAATGATTCAATCTAAATAAAGCATAAGACAGGCAAAACCTGGATCTTATTATGAGGACTATTCCTCTCTTTCAAAGTCTCAAACTTGGAGCTTCCCATTACTTTTTTTGAGTTCACTTACTATCTACCCTTCCTATTTATACCCCTCACTTACCTATTAGCTGGTTTATTTTTTTGCTTGCTAAAAACTGCCAGTGAAATGCATAGTCCCTTTGAAACTTGCTCCTCTTTTTTCAGTATTCGTTATTAATAGCACCCACAAAAACTAAATTTGAAACTTGGAACCTAATTGTAACAAATTTTAACTTCTTTCTCAATCACACATTTGCCTAGGCTTCATGGGTCTGTTCTTAGAGGCTTGCTCATCCATTTATTATTTTGTACTAGATGCCTGCTTTAGTCTGGCCTTCTCCCAGGATTCTGTACTAACCTTTAGAACGACACTGTCTATGCCTTTAGTCTCGTTCTCCCTAGATTACCAAATGTTTCTTTAGGTATCAGAATAGTTACACTTCCTCTCCATTCTAGATTTTAAACATTAAATAATCATACCTATGAGTGGTTTATTTACCTTTCAGGATTAGGACTTAAAAGATAAATTGACTTAGAGTAGTACAGGGACTTTTAAAAGACATACTTTATAGTTTATTGGGTGCAACTGTAAAAACTTGTCACAGCCATACCATTTTGTAATTAAAAGTTTCTGTTATTTTTGAGTTACTGCAAGAGGATTCTGAGTCATGGGTTGGATACTAAAATGTTGAGCAAACATTTATACACTTAGGTAAATACTGTTTAGATGGAATATTCTTTAAAAATATTCCTGCTAAATCAGTTCATCTGTAGATATGCTTTTCTTTTCTACTTTAGCTTTTTTGTGCCCTGGCTATGATAAAGTGAAGCCTTTAAGAGGATTTTGTTTATGGGGAGGACTCAATGCTTAGCAGGCAGAGTTAACGAGGCTAAGGACATTGATCTGATTTCTTAATGGATCAGATATCTTCCTGTTAGTCTGTACTCACAGACTGTCCTTCAAAACATGGCCAACTATTTCAAAAATATTAGTCATGAGTGAAACAGAGAAAGGGAGTCAGAATGGCTGAGTGGCGATTCATTCTAAAACAAGTTAAGGCGCATGCCCCTATCAGAGTGGTTCAGGAGTTTCATCCTCTCTTACACAAGTAACTCAGCATTTATTGACTTTTCATAATTTGCTGCAGATTCTACCTCTTTGGCCCTCAACAGTGTTAGTTGCCATAGCTGTCCATCTTATTTCTCTGGTCTTTAAAGTTGGATGGCTTATTGAATTTACCGAGAGGCAGTGTGTCGAGATGAAAAGAACATGATTTTTAGAGTCAGACCTTCTGCCCTATTTGTATCACTAATCAGTTGTGTGGCCTTGGTTAAATTTCTTAATCTCCAAGTCTCTATTTCTTCCTTTGAAAAAAATACCTACTTTATATTGTTGTAAAAATTAAATAAGATAATGTACATAAGTCACTAAGAATAAACTGGATGCATAATAAATGCTGAAGTTGTGTACTTGTCTTTTGTGATACACAATAAATCTAACAATTGGTTAGTAAAATTCCATTTGGATACCATGTATTTAACATCTACTTGGTGCCAAGCATGTTGTGTGGTACTTTATATATATTATCTTTACTCCTCATGATAATGTCAAAAGGTTATTTATAACAACCATTTCCTTTAAAATGGAGAAACTGAGAAAAGTTGCTGCTCTCTGGGATGCATGGTTCTCACCTAAGCACAATACACAGTTAATTGAGGATATAGAAATATTTCTAGGGAACTGGGTTTTAAATATTGTAGTTTAATAGTTACCTAGGGGTGGAGTTGGGCCAGGAGGGAGTGTTTGTTAAAAAGGCAGATTCCTGGGGCCCATCTGCAAGGACCCTGGGTCTGGGTGGAGACCAGGAAAATGCAATTTTGACAAGCTGCCCATGCCATTTTATTTTTATTTTTTATTTATGTATTTATTTATTTTTTAATCCTCACCGGAGGACATTTTTCCACTTTTTTGTTCAGGTAGAGTGGGAGGGAGAGAGAGGAACAGAGAGAGAGAGAGAGAGAAACATCGATGTGAAAGGGACACATCGAGTGGCTGCCACCCGCACAACCGACCAGGGCCGGGGACAAACTGCAACCGAGGCACGCGCCCTTAGCGGGAACCGAACCCGGGTCTCTCAGAACTGCAGGCCAACGCTCTAACTGCTGAACCAAACTGGCCAGGGCTGCACATGCCATTTTAATGTAGTTGTTTCTTTGGAGAACACTTGGATAAAAATTGGTCTATACATCACACCTTAATTTGATTCATTTACTCCATACTCCAAGCTTTAAACTGTGGTAGGAGGAGGAGGATTCAGAGGCAGGCTGGCATCTATAGGCTGAAATTGAATTTGCATAAATAAGAATTTGCCTCTCACTCTTTACTCTTCTTCATCACCTCAAGATGCTTACTCTCTGGTAATACCTTCATACACCACCTGCGATTATTGATGTCCTTAGTTAACCTTTGTTGATATAGGCTCAAATGGACTGTATCAGCAGCAAACAGATGAGATGAAGCAGAGAGATAGGACCCTTACAGAGTAACTGACCATTGTCCTGCAAAACTGTCACAAGTTGTAATCTCTTGCAACCTCAATTTTATTAACTATAAATGATATGACATTTGACTTAGAAAGTTATTGTAAGGATTACCACTGTCTAGCACATGGTAGGTATTTATAAATAACAGCTATTGTTATTATTTATTTATTTATTTATTTGGGTGAGATATCAAACATGATAACAGATATTAAAACACTATGTAAGCTAGCTCTTACACTAGGAAATTCTTCTCTCTAACATAATCTTTTGGAGAATGTGATGAAAGCTGTAGACCAGTGCCAATGAAAATATAATACTAGTCACATAGGTAATTTTAAACTTTTAGTATGCACATAAAAAACAGGTGAAACTAGCCTGGTTTGTGTGGCTCAGTGGATTGATTGGCCCATGGACTGAGAGGTCCCAGTTCCATTCTGGGTCAGGGCACATGCTCGGGGTTGCCGGCTCCATCCCCAGTGTGTGTGTGTGTGTGGGGAGGACATGCAGAAAGGCAGCCAATTGATGATCGTTGAAAAACAGGCGAAACTAATTTAATGATATATTTAACAAAATATACACATTTTGTAATTTCAACATGTAATCAATATAACATTATTAATGAGGTATTTTACATTATTTGTTTCATATTGAGTCTTCAAAATGTAGTGTGCATTTTTATACTTCCATCATATGTCAATGTGGGCACTAAATTTCAATGGTAACATGAAATGCAGTGCTACCCACTAAATAAAGTCGGGTTTAATGGAAATAGGTTACCCTGCTTCTGTTTTTAAATTCAAATTAATGGAATTTATATAAAACCAAAAATTCAGTGCCTAAGTTGAAGTAGCCACATTTCAAGTGTTCAGTAGCCACATGTGGCTAGTGGCTATGGTTTTGGACAGAGCAGTTTGGGATCTCTAGAATTTTGTTTCTATTTCTAAGGAATACATGGACCCATGAGGTTGATCCTTACTTTATGCCTTGGTTAAGAATACTGGTTTCAGCCCAGCCAGTGAGGCTCAGTGGTTGAGCATTGACCCATGCACCAAGGGGTCACTGGATTGGTTCCGGGCCAGGGCACATGCCAGGGTTGTGGCCCTACCCCCAGTGGGAGGCATGCCAAGGGCAGCCAATCAATGTTCTCTCTCATTGATGTTTCTATCTCTCTCGTTCTCCCTTCTTCTCTCTCTAAAGTCAATAAAAAAGAAAAAAGAGAAAAAATATTTAAAAAGAATTGTCCTTTTCACATTTTATAAGCCAACTCATAGTTTAAAGAAGTCAACAAGTTACTTTCCATATGTTCAATAAATATTATTCATGTTTAGTTATGAATAAACTCCTCAAACTAAATCAAGCAACTTTATAGAAACTGGACTATTTAAACTTTATCGAAAGTGGACTATTATTGATTTAGATTTATAAAAATAAACTGAGGATATGGTGGTTGATCTTCCATCACTGTGTTCTGGTGTGACCACAAGATTTAATTTCTAGATATTAAAGTGACTGATTTTCACCATCCTAACAAGCAAACTTCAAGGTTTACCTTTCTCAGGGCACATAAAGTGCGCTCTCTCTCAAAACAAACAAACAAAACAAAAGCAAAAACAAAAAACCAGGCAGTAGCCGCTGAACTTGCATAGACAGGGATTTATCTATTTTTAGAGAGAGCAACTGCTTGCAATTCAGTTTCTGGAGAGAGAAATGCATCCACTGCACAACAGACTCGCGGAGCCGACCTTTGCTAGGCACTGCTCAAACACCCCTAAGACTACTCTCACCAAAACTCTGTAGCGCAATTGTTTTTCCGCTGAGCCTTCAGCTCGCCCCAGCCAGCAGGAGCGCCGGGCTCCGCCGCAGCCTTCCCCGCCCGCACCGCGCGGTGGGGCCCAGCCCGAGGGCGAGGCCGGGAGCGAAGGGGGCGTGCCCAGCTCGGGGGCGGGGCCGTGGAGCGCGAGGAGGCGGAAGTTCCCGCGGCTTGTGAGGGCGGCGCACGCACCGCGAATCACTTGTCAGCGCTCGTCTGAGGCGGAGGCAACGCAGCGCCGGACCCGAGGTGAGTGGCCACCCGCAGGGGATGCGCGACTCTGATTCTCCGTAAGGAGGAGGGAAAGTAGCGGCCGTCCTGCGCGGAGCGCGAGGGTGGCCGATCTGGGGAGGCAGAGGGGGCGCCTGTTGCGCGGGGCGGTTTCTCAGGTGCTTTCTGGCCGTGGAGCAGCGGAGGTGGGACAGCGGCGTGGGAAGGGGACGCCCGGGGAAGGGTGGCGCGCGAGGCCAGCGGACGGGCACTGGAAGTCCCGGAGCCCGGGCGGGCCAGGATGGGCGCAGCGAGGGCAGCGACGCGGGAGCGGAGCGCCCTGGATGGCGAGGGCGGGCGCGGAAAGGCCCCCGGGCTCCCTGCCCCGGCCCGCCGGCCTGCTCCGGGCGTCTCCAGGACCCACCTTGGCGTCGGGGTCCACCACGTCCTGCGCGAATCTCTCTCGGGGCAATGGGGAGGAAGCGGGACTCGGTGGGAATGGCGTGTTAGTTTTTGTTTCCTCTCACGCTACTGAGACATTTATTTCTCCGCAGATATTTAGGATTTTGTAACCTGTTTGGGGAAAACTTCCGTGCGTCCGGAAGTAAAGCTAGTTTTAAAAAACAGATCTGTCGTGAATGCCAGATATATTAATATTTGTGTGCCTTTGGGGGCGTTTTTAAGACTGTGCCTTCGTTGCGTTTGACAATAAGTGGAAAAAGGAAGGGCGTGTGGACAGGGCAGAGCTTGGAAAGAAAATTCGTGGTTGCGCTGGGCAGGGCAGGTCTAGGGTGTGATCGCCAGATCCTATCCCAAGTCCGCCGCCTTCCTGACCATGAGGACGTCGGAACCCGCCTGCCACGGAAACAGCCGGCTCTGGAGCCTTATTTGGCAAACAGGGCTAGGCGAGAACATCTGCTGGAAAACCGTCTCTCGGGCTGCTTTCATCCTGTGCCTGTGGCCTCAGTTCTTAAGCTCTATCTCCACTGTCTCTCAATCTGGGGGAAAAGAGAACTTCAGGATACTGCTCTTTAATTTCCGACCCTTCTTGTTCCCCTGAGCAGTTAGTTCACCACGAATTCTCTTTCCCCCCTTCTCACCCACCAAAGAAACTGGGATAGGAATGTGGGAAATAACCAACCTTCCTTCCCAAGTACCAGGGCGAAGACATTGTTTAGACTTTCCCTAAGGGAAAATCCAGAACTGTACAGAAGTTCCAACGTTTTCTACAAGTTTGAAAGAAGAGTAGGCTGCTATTCCCTGCCTGCTTGGTATTTTAAGAAGAGTTTGGGCACTAATAACCAGATGGAGGAGACCTGGAAAAGGCCAATGATACTACCATTGCTTAGGGTCAGAACATTTAAAGACAAACTAAGCTAGCAGGGAGAATACTAGAAACGACACTGGACTAGAAAGGAAATGACACTGGTTCTGTAGTGTGGTTATGACCTTGCCAGTGCTAGAAATTTTAGTAACAAATGGGAGAAGTCATGAAGGGAACTCCCAAGTAAGAAGACATTGCATGTACATGCGTGGATACATAAATACATTTTGCATTGTAGTGAACAGTGGGTCCAGAAGTTGAGCCTACCTTAAACATTCTTTTCTTGATAAAAGTTAAAGATTAAAAAAGAAGGGAGTACAGGCTGCCTTTGAAATATCTATTCGCTTTATAGACTTCTGATTGTAGTATACTGTGTCAATATCAGAACAGTCTTTTCTAGTTCTATGAAAACCTTCTCTTTTATTATAAGGGGGAAGGAATTAAATATATGTGGCTCCTTATCACTTCCCTACTATTCGTTTTTCACGCATATCTAACAGTTTGGCTTCCGGCCTGGCCTTTTGCCTTTTTATTGCCTTGTGCCTGTGCACCATTATTGAAGTAGTGTATTCTTATTTAGTACTTCAGTATACTACCATGCCAGTGGGAAAACTCAGTTTCTAGGTAGATGCCATGCAGATTTTCACTGATTTAATTTTTCAAGAACCAGACTTATTTAAGTAAGTTTTGCCTCATTTTCTTCTTATGAAAAGATGGATTCTATTTGCTTTTAATGTGTCCAGTGGTTCAAATATCTACATCTGTCACTATCAATTTGATGTGATGGCATAGAACTTTTAAATGGGTTAAAAAATATTTTAAGACAGGTAATATAGGTGATGATTTGGTTGAACAGCATAGATTTTTAAGGAAGAATGTGTTAGATTAAAAAACGTTTTTAAGTTATTAAACTGTATTATATTGTAAATATTTTTAAAGAGGGAAATACTTTGTTAGTATTACATCTTAGAAAATCTCCACTCCTCCCATTTTCTCACACCCACATGTAACCACTATAACAATCAATCCCAAACTCCCAATTCATACTTTTTTGCTTTAGTTTTTCTTGGGTAAAAGTGCTACCATGAGAGTCATTATGAGAGCACTTCCAGCAACACACAGAAAAGAAGGCACTGAAGCACTGGATCTCTTCTGAAGCTCCTATTCCCTTTCATGCATTAAGATTACACTCCTACCACATTTAGTCGGTGTGGTAAATGATCACCTTCTACTATGCCTGACGAGGTGTGTGTATAAACAAAAAGCAGGCTCTGATTGAAATGTCACTGTGCTAGAGTATTGCCTATCTTGGACTGTCTGAAAGAAAAAGAAATGTTACTTAAATGTAGAATAGTATATCACATCCCTATAACAGGAAATTCAAGCTATAGTTTATGATCAAGGAGAATAGTTTTATACATTAAAAAGCAACTCATTTTAAAGAATTTAGTAAGCATGAATGAGTCTATGAATTAGCAGTATTTTTCATATGTTAGAGTAATTTAGAATTTAAGTAAGTGAAATTGAAGGTTTCTTGCCAATTACAGGCAGGAGAATGCATGAGGTAGAGGGAAGGAGAAAATCATATTGAGTTAAACTTGAAATAAAATCTTGTTCTTCTATATATAACAAAATGTTGTAAATACTTTGAGTTAAAGTTTGTTTGCAAAGAGCCACAAATCGTAGCAAATTGTAAAACTGATCAAGTGTCTAGAAATATATTCTGATATGGAATTTTTAAACTATGGAAATTGGCGTGGGTTTAGAAATTGTATATTAGCTCATATATTCCTTTTTTTAGACTGAAATGAAAACTTAATATAGACTTATACTCTATAGCCCCTCATACCCCCCAAAACAAAATACTGAACATAATTTAGTTGGGTCTACATTAAATACATTTAAATATGTAATAGGGCTTCAAATACATTTTGTTAAAGCATCTGATTTTTTTTTCTCACAGTTTCACTTTCTGGGATTGGACTTTGAGCCATTAGAACCATGAGCAACTACAGTGTGTCCTTGGTTGGCCCAGCTCCTTGGGGTTTCCGGCTGCAAGGTGGCAAGGATTTCAACATGCCTCTGACAATCTCTAGTGTAAGCAAACTTTACAGATTTTATTACAGGTGTTTATTCAATGCTTAATCCTGGAAACCTCAGGACTAATTCTCTGGATGACCTGTTCTCTACTTACTAAAATTGTCTATGGGATTTGATCTCAACAGACTTAGTTACCTGTAATAAAGGATGTGGTGGGAGGGAAGTTAGCAAGGATAATTGATTTTAATTTTGTTTATTTTTCAGTTTCCCTTCATCATCTTAATGATAAAACAGAAAGTATTTCACTAGGGGTAGACTTCAGATCTTTAAACTGTAACTAATTTGGAGAATTTTCTGGATCTTAGTTTCTTCATATGTAATAAAAGAAGGTTTTACTATGGAATTTTCATGGTGCCTTTCAGTTCCAAAGCTGTTTATTAAAAATTGTTGATCATTATTAATGAAATGACTGTTTTTGGTGTTATTCCCTTAGCTTACTTTCTGGTGAAGGTGATGGCCAACAGTAAAATAGCCCAAAGCTACTTACCTTTGAAGAAGAAAAAGACTTGGATCTCCAATTAGATAGTCAGTCTTGAATAATTGAGATTTGGCTGCTTACCTCATTATGAATTTAGTTTGAATGAATTCTACATATACATTTTAAGGATATGTTTACCTGATGATAAAGGGAGTAATTATAGCTTTTATTTATTAGGGCTTGGCTGTGTCAGGTACTGTTTCAATTTAATCATCAGTAGGTAATTATTGCGATTAATTACTTGTATAACATTCCAGAGGGATTTTTTATGTGTATATTCAAATCATTGTGAATGTCCACTCACCTTTACTTACATGGTAGTGTATTGTACACCCTATTCCACACCTTGCTTTTTTTCTTAGCAATTTACCATGTGGTACTTTCCCTATTAATCTATTAATATAGAGAGAGTTTTTTTTTTAAACAACTATACAGAATTCTCTTGTAGGGAATTTATTTAACCATCTCCTATGGAAGGGTATTTATATTGTTTGCAACATTGCTATTACAAACAGTGCTACAGTGGATGCCATATATGCATAGTTTTACATATATATGTATATAAATTTTTTTTTTTTATGAATTTTTATTTTTTTGTTACAGATATTTTACCTTTTTACCCCATTGGCACCCCCCACCCCACCCCCCCTCCACCCTGTCCCCGGCTTAGTTGTCCATGTCCATTGGATATGCATACATGCATATAAGTTCTGTGGTTTATCTCTTCCCACCCCCCCACCCCCCATCCCCTCTTCTGAGGGATGTCAGTCTGTGCCCTACTTCCATGTGTCTGGGTCTACTGTATTCCTCAGACTGTTATGTTCATTATATTCCGTATATAAGTGAGATCATGTGGTATTTGTCTTTTTCTGCTTGGCTTCTTTCACTTAGGATAATACTTTCCAGGTCCCTCCATGTCGTCTCAAAGGATAAGAGATCTTTCTTTCTTACCGCTGCATAGTACTCCATTGTGCATATGTACCACAGCTTTTTTATCCATTCGTCTACTGGTGGACACTTGGGCTGTTTCCAGATCTTAGCTATTGTAAATAGTGCTGTATATGTATATAATTTTTGATAGGTTATGTAATTTACACTTTTGTGCAGTGCATCAAAATACCTATTCCCACCCCTCACAGCCTTATCATCAAATTTTGGGATTTTTGCCAAGTGCTTTGCATGCATCATCTCGCTTAATTCTTATGCCAATCTGTGAAATAGTGGTTTTATTCCCATTGTCCAGAACTGTCTAGGAGCTCACCTGAGTGGTATAGAAGAGCTGGCTTTCAAGCAATTGTTATGCTACCTCCCTGATAATAAACTTTATCTTAAATTTAAGTTCTCGAACCTCTCCTATCTTGAACAGTTGGGTTCTTGACCAAGTTGTTAGATGTCTCAGTTGTCCAACAAAACTTAGGTTCTCCACTTGACAACCCTTCCACGGTAATGCATCAGCCTGATGAAAACATCTCTCGGGCCACAAACCAAGGAGAGAGAATGCATGAGTATGAGTCAGTTTACAAAACCTCAAGTTGTTAACATCACAGGAAATTGTGCTGTGAATATTTTTGTGTGTTTATTTTTCTTTTGTACAGACTTTAGTACAATTATTTATTTATTTTTTAATCCTCACCGGAGGATATTTTTCCATTTATCTTCAGATAGAGTAGAGGGGGGAGAGAAACTTCCACGTGAGAGGGACATATCGACTGGCTGCCTCCTGCATGACCCTAACCAGTGCTGGGGACAAACCACAACTGAGGTACATGACCTTGACCGGAATCGAACCAGAGACTCACTGGTCAGCAGGCCGCCACGGGCCAGGGCGATATTAGCACAATTAGCACAATTTTAAAACTTAAAAGAGGCTATTAACAGCGCTGATGTTGCTAAGAGTGTGAAAGTACTCACAAAATAATGATCACAGGCAATTGAAGAGGCACAAAAGGTATTGTTGATTTGGATAAATGAAAAGCAGTTAGCTGGTGACAGCATTTTGGAGGCAGTGATATGTGAAGAGGTGAAGATGCTGCATGCTGACCTCCTGGAAGACTCCCCCCTGGAACAAGTGCTGAAAGCGATTCCTTTAAGGCAGGTAGGGGGTGGTTCGATACATTTAAGAGGAGAAGAGTTTGCTTATGGATTAAACAGTACATTAGACATGTACTGTGTACAAGAAAGGTTAACACAGAATCATTTGGGTCTGGAACAGATTCCATTTCGATTATTTCTAGTGGGAAAAAATAATTTGGTTTTTGAACAAATCCCTTCTCAAACAGCCTTCAGGAATGAATTAAGTTCGAGAACGGAGGTTTCACTGTAGATTGTTTCAATAATCATTAGAATGTGATTGCTTTGTTAAATTATATACATATAATTTATATACATTATATACATATAATATGTATACACACACACACTGCTTCTTACAACATATATTCAACTTGATTTTGAAAGATTAAAAATAAATTTCTAACACTTACATGTTTCTATTAAAATACTGCAAATCAAGGCTTACTAAATAAGTGTTCTTGGCTGCGGAGTTTTAAATAGCTATCATTTCTTGTTTCTTGGCTATGGATTTTTAAATAGTTGTCATTAATTAAGCACTAATTTCTGTCTTGATTTTAGTTTTTCAGATTTTATAAGGAAATACATACATGTAATCTAGCCTGAAAGTTTTAAGACTTCATGGTTGGATGAAATTTTAAATGTAAAGCATCCATGTAAAAACATGTCTTGTGATTTATTCCTATTTGAGCAAGGAAATATTTTTTTTCCTACTGAAGATCTATAATGAGGAAAGAAACAATACTTGAATACTGTCTGTTTTTATGTTCTATTAACATTTTATATTAATTTTGAATATCTTTAAGATAATGGACTACATTTTTTTTTAGTTAACAATATTTCAGTTTGTTCTGAAAAGAAATAAATTAACACCTAAATGAAACAAACTTAATCATCACTTTGTTGTTTGGTAATAGAAATGCAAATAGATATGTAAATATGTGGTACCATGCCTTTTAAAAAGTTGTCTGTGCTTCAGTTCCTTGGCAGACAATTTGAGGTGCTAGCTCCATGTTGTGATGCTGATGAAACAGAACACTGTGTACATACATACGTGCCCTCCCCTGGCACAGAAGAAATGCTTTCCTTGTGTAGACAGAGTGCTAATTAAAGGATTTTGAACATACTGATTCAAAGAAAGCACGGTAACAAAGCTGCTGAGTTATTTCTGTTCTCTTACAAAAGTCTCTGCCATCTCCTGTGACCTTTTTGGGCCTTGTGCAGTGGGGCATGCAGTTCATTCTGGACTGGAGAAGATGGGAAGGGGAGGGGCAGGAGTGAAGGGAATGTTGGCTCAACTGTGCTGCTAAGCTGTTGGCTTTTCAATATAGTTATTTTTAACCCCTTGTGTGGTTTAAACATGCCTAGTAACATTGCCTAATAAAGATGTGTGCCTAGTTACTAATTTATATTGTTATAGTAAGATTATTAATATTATACCTCATCTTTATTAGGTCTCTGGTTATATTTATTCTGCCTTTAATATAATATATTTAAGTGGTCACCAGATTAAAAGTATCAAGAAGCAATTAACCTGAACACATGCCTTAAAACATGTAATTTAGTGATTCTTTTATTTGAATAGTGTGTATGAAATTCATAGCTAGTCCTGGAACATAGTGTTCTCACAGTTATCTATTATAGTATTATTAAAAAACTAAAAAGAAAAATTATTTAGAGACTTGAAACATCAAATTCCCAATAATTATAGGGAATAAAGCAGTTAGATTTATTTTTCACTTACAGTCTGTTGGAATGAAAAAAAAAAATCACAAATTTGTGCTTAGCTAGGAAGCTGTATCTTTAGAGTTCAAAAGTATACAATTTTTACTTGGGTTATGTATTATTATTTTGAACTCCAGTGAGGTATTCACATCCCCTTATAACATTGGAACTCTATGATATGAGTGTAGTTGAGATAAATAAGCCATTGGCTGGGAATTGAACATTCTGTGTTTTTGAGATTTTGTCGTTACAGGCATGTGAATATGCTGAACATGACTTGTATCTTAAACCATATGAACTTTAAAATTTTAACTTTTCACCAAATTAGTTAATCACCAGTATTGTATGAATTTTGCATTCCTTTTTAGTATGTTGATTTCTAAGATAAGATTGGCAGTTTCTGCAAACTCTTAAGAGAGTCTCAGATTGCTGTAACTGCATCATCAGGAGTCATCGTCCGTTTTCTATTCTTAAAATGGAGTGCTGGCTACAGGCTTTTGCAGGCTTTTTTTTATGACCCTGTATTTATGGAATTGCCTTGAAACCGTGGAATGTGGGGATGGGTTTCATTGTAGCAGTTTGGGTTTGTTGGTCTTTGCCAGTATATTTTATAAGAAGAAATAGGAGACTTGTTGCACAATTTGTAGCCATATTTGGCAAGTTGGTGTTTCTCATGATGGAATTACAAAAAGGGTAACATTGTTGTGAATAACATATTTTTAAT